TGGGGCAGCCATACCCAGGTGCGCTCTGGTGGCATTGGGGCAGAAGAGCCTCAAGCTGCTGCCGCCTTGTGTGGATCTGAGAGCACCCCTGAGTGCTCTCTTGGCTCTGTGCCCATTAGTATGCTAATTGCTTTTAAATAGATCCAAGACATGAGCCATTGCCAGTCGGACTCACTTTCTTGATGAAAGATTGTGTTTCTTTTCCATCATCTGTGTGTTTGTGTTTTGGAGATGTGATAACAGGAAAGAACAAATTTGGACAAGGAGTGTAATGCTGAGCACTCTGCACAGTTAAACAGAGGTTGCGGCTGCTAGCAGAGCCAGCCCTCCCCATATCCTCTCATCACCTCAGGGTTCATGCTAACATGATGCCCCAGCTCATACCTTGTCACTCTGTGTGTATAACCCAAGCTCGCCTTCACATGGCCTCAAGTCTTTCTCATGAGGTTCTGTAGCATAGCCCTGCCTTTATCCTCTGCTGTGATATTGCTGGAGCATCCTAAACTAAGTCTCTCCCAAGATAGTGGGCAAAAAATATGTGAGCTGTAATGCTGCCGGTTAAGTTCACCACTCACAAAACTATTCTTCACCTTTGGTGAAGTTACAGTCCTGTGATAAATCCGGGAACATACAGATAAATCCAGGAATACATAATATATGTTTACATAGGAAGAAACGTGGGTATTAAAGACCTATTCCAATGTCAGTAAATTCTTCAGTTGGCGTTTAATGCATTTAACCATATGGCAAAGTCTCACCTGAACACTATATATGATTTGATTATGTAGCAAGAGGTTCTTAAAAGATGGATAGAAAAAATGTTGACATGCTTTCCCATGAAATCCAGAATAATTTTAGTACCCAGTCAGTAAAAAGCCTATTCCTTTAGGTACAGGAAAAGCTGGAGATAATGAGAATAAATCCTCTTTGTGACGAACATTCGGTTTAAAGAAAAAATGGTAGGTGGTGGGTTATCTGATTTGCTAACAAGGCATAGGATTTGTCTCTTCAGTATTTTATAGATAGAAATGGCTGTGTGTCTTCAAAACCGGAATTCAAAGATTCATAAATTCACAGCTTGGAAATAATAGAGTTAGCCCTTATGTACTTGCCAAAAATATTTTGGACAAGGCTAGGAAGTAAACAGAATAGAATCCAGAGATCTGCTCACGTGCTTTAACCACAGAGATTTCCTAATTTCTCAGATCATTCTGCAATATTTGATCATTTTGTATTATAAGTATCCCAGTTTCCTCATTAAGGTTCAGTATGATTTGATACACCCTGCTTTCTTCCTTTGCCTTGTACATTGTAATTGTAGGAGGCGGAATTTCCTATTTCTGCAGTAATTAGCATGACACGGAGTTCATGCTTATTGGTTCTGATGTACTCCAATACAGATTACTTTCTATAGCCATTTGAACATAATCAGTAAGTTCAGCACATACTTACAAATAGATTGATATTATTGCAAACTATATTTATGGGAAAATAAGCTACATCTCTAAAAAAATCACCTAATTAAAGCACAGAATATCACTTAATCCTGTCAAAATTGCAATAGGCATTCACTGAAGACCCGCAAAGTGTAGTTCTGTACATCCTGCTGGAAGTGGTGCTGAATCTGTTCTGAGTTTCTGAGCAAAGAGGGATTCATAGAATCGTAGAATCATTAAGGTTGGAAAAGGCCTCTAAGATCAACATGCCCAACTTCAGCCCACCCCCACCACGCCCACTGACCACGTCCCTCAGTGTCACATCTCCAAAGTTCTTGAAAACCTCCAGGGTCGGTGACTCGACCACTTCCCTGGGCAGCCTGTCACAACACTTCACCACTCCTTCAGAGATTTTTCCTTATATCCCCTCTGAATCATAGTTCGGGTGAGTTTGGCTCCAAACTGGCAGTAACCTCGTCCTCTGGTGTGAATGTCCATTTGCAGCTGTAGTACATCAGATATCTACTGGTACACTGCAACTTATTTAGTTTTATTTGTAAAAATTAATTACACTTCTCTGAGTACATTACACTCAATGCAAATTAAAGTGCAGTGTGTAGGGATGGTTTGGAGATAGACTTTCAAAGCCCATTCCAGAAGTGAGCTAATACATTCATGTAGACATGTCCTGATTACCCCTCCACGCCATGCCATCATGCCAGATTTTCCCAGCCCCTCGGAAAGTAAAATATCTTTATTTCCTTCTTTACAAATTTATCTTGTATGGGAATGTACAAGATTGAGTAAAACAGATAGATGAAGGTTTTATTTTGACTGTAATAGATAAATTCTACCATGGGTATTATAAGCAAGCAAATGGTCTCCAGTGTGTGAATATTTATGTTCTGCCTAGTAGTTCCATAGGAACTCTTCAACCTCTATTAGAATTTCATATTTTTCATGATAAAAAGTGTAGCTGATTCCCTTGAACATCACTGACGTCATCATAAAATTCATCAATCTCATCTCAATCTTATAACGATCCTGCCTCAGGAGAGGCTTTTGACTGAAGATAATGCTTGTCAATAAATATAAGTGGTTGAGTTCCAGCTAAAACAGAGGGAAATAACATGTAAGCAAACAATGCATTTAAGGCTACCTGAATCAGACACACTTTAGAGATAAATTTAAAATATATATATATATTTTCTGGCTGAGATGCCAGCTCCTAACTTATCCATTCTAACTTCCCTTAAAACCACTGACAAGATCACTGAAGTCAATAAGGTTACTAATATGCTTCAAGTTTGGCATGCCTACATACTTTGTGAAACAGGTGCTGAAAAACACTGTCAGACTTAATAATTGCTGGTGCTGTTGTTTCAAAGACTGAAAGAAAAAGAAAAAAGAAAAGAACGTCTAATTTTTTGGGATGTTCAACTTAACTAGAACCATAAACTCGTAGAATCGTAGAAATGTTTGAGTTGGAATGGACTTTTAAAGGTCATCTAGCCCAAACGTCCTACAATAGACATAAACACCTACAGCTCCATCAGGTGCTCAGAGCTCTATCCAGCCTGACCTGGAGTGTCTCCAGGGATGGAGCATCCACCACCTCTCTGTGCAACCCGTGACAGTGCTTCATTAGAAGCTGCAGAAACAAAACAAAACAAACAAAATGATGAGGTCATATAAACTGATGGTCAGACATGGCAGGCTGGATTGCCCCTGTACTGTAAAGTAAGCCAGATAACATCTCAGCAAAATATTCTCCAGCAGTAGGAAGTATATTAAAATTCTTGTCGTGGCTAATTCCCTCACAAATTCATTGACAATTACTAGCAGCTTCTGTGAAGAGCTAAGTAGCCTCAAATTATCAGGTGAACTGAATGAGATTCAGTGTTTAAAAAAAGTCAGAATAATAATTCAATAAAATTGAAGCACAAAGCCCAGTGGAGAGTGTTCCTGTAAGAATTAAGTTATTGAAGTTTAAGCAATCATATGCAATAATGCAGCTGAAATATTGTTTCATAATAAATACTACTGCTGATGCAAATCTGATTCATTCTAGTGGCTACCATAATTAACTGCATGGTTTGTGAGTGGTTAATTTAGAGGATGAATAATTGGTTAAAACAAGTTTTGCGTATTGCAATGTAATATCCTTGTTCAATTTTCCACTTAATTTCAATTAATATGGGTTCTACATGTATTCCACTGTTGCAGCTTTTATGCCTATTATTTTTAATTAGAAAAAAGTGATACCTTGGTAGAAGAGAAGAAATGAAAAACACTCTATGTTCTCCCAAGCTTATTCCATTACAGATATTTCAAGCTCATTTCCCTTAACTATACATAGTGTTAAACATTGTTCCTGAGGCTGACTGGAACTGGAAGTGCCAATTCCAGTATCAAGCAGAAGGCAAGAAAGGAGCGAGGTGCCAAGAGAAGTGGTGATGTCCCATCCCTGGAGACACTCAAGGTCAGGCTGGACAGGGCTCTGAAAACCCTGATAGAGCTGTAGGTGTCCCTATTCATTGCAGGGGCAATTAACAAGATGGCTTTAAAGGTCTCTTTCAACTCAAATGATTCTATGAAATGCCTGTACATCACTATTTTCATAGCACACCTTGCTTTCTCACACTGTGCTGCTCCAGCAGCCCAGGTGGGCTGGTGTATGCTCCATGCCTGCTTCTCTTTGGGAGAGAGGCTCCAATAACATGGACAGAGAATTCTGTTTTGGTTTCTTTCATTCCTGGCTGCTCCCATACCGAGCTCCTTAGGGACATGGTTCAGAGGGAAATATTGGTGGTTGGTGTGCAGTTGGACTAGATGATCTTAGTGTTTCTGGACTTAATGATTCTATTAATCTATGATTCTATGGTTAATGGCACTGCATTATATGATGCTGCTGAAGGAATTTTTCTTGTGCTTTTCTCAGGAGCTGCAGAAGAAAATAGAAATGGTTAACCAATTCTGGCTTAAGAGGACGAGAGTTATCACCCAGCCTACATCATCAAACTCTTCATGGACATTTTAATGCATTCATCTGCACTGCATCATTATCATCACTTTTCAAATGGAGAGTTGCAAAGGACCTAGAGACTGGAGAGTTGTTAGCATAGTAAACTTTTCATACATTTAAAAAACCTGTGCCTAGGTCAATGTGTTCAAACAGTACTGATGACCATTCTCTGAAATAGAAGTATCACCTGCAAGGCCACCATTGTATGCAGCCCATGTTAGCATCTCCACCTTCAGTATTCACTAAAAAGGTTTCTGAGGTGTTTCTGTGAGGTGTAGAGTTGCACAGGGAATGGCATCAGCTGGATAGTAAAATTGCAGTAGTAAAACCAACTGGGCAGTAAAATTCTTATTTTTTAAATTGTTATTACTATTTATTATTTTTAACATAGTCAATCTGCATAGTGATAAGAACTACAAGCAGCTTTAGGGGATGTTTTCCATTATTAATAACTAACCCATTAGCAGATGTCTAAGGAGCTGGTTGTGTTTCAGCCCTGCTAAATACCTAAACACCTGCTTTGTGATGTTCCCTGGCAGGCCAGATGACGCTGAGGACGCAGCACGTTCAGGACTCCAAGATGGGCTTTGTAATCAACGCGATATACTCAATGGCTTACGGCCTCCACAACATGCAGCTGTCGCTGTGTCCAGGCTACGTGGGCCTTTGTGATGCCATGAAGCCCATAGATGGACGAAAGTTGCTGGAGTCCCTCATGAAGACCAACTTTACTGGAGTCTCTGGGGACATGATCTTGTTTGATGAGAATGGTGACTCGCCAGGAAGGTAACTTTAACACTTGTCAAACTATTTAAACAGCAGACATGCAAACTGTATGCTGTAGATCATTCACACAACATTAGAACTAAGATCTCATTCCTTGTTTTTCATATTTTTAGACTTTCTGAACTTATGTTTTCAGAATAACTCTTTTTATTACTGTGCATTTTTAATTATATCTAATATTATAATTGGAGAAAACAGATGAGTTTTTCAGGCACTCAGTCTTTTTCTGTGGGTGGCAAACCATGAGACTCTCAATTTTCTGTTTGGAGACTATAATGTCCATCACAGTGTTACTCTTTCTCTCTTTGGGTATCTTAGAATTATGTGTTTTAAAGGTAAGAAGTCATTACTTGAATAATTAACCATAGTTCCTTTACTAAGAAAGCTAAAATACAAAAGATGTATTGATTAGTCTGGGATTTTTTTTCTGATTTGAATAATTAAAAATCTGCCTAGTTACCTTCCAAATGAAGCAGTACCATGTGCATAACACACTAAACTTGTAATTCACAGTGTACTGCTGTAAACAAATTAAACAGCTAAACATGATTTGCTGTGGCATACATGCAATGTCCATATGGAAGCACATACTCAGAATACTAATGAGAATTTTTCTAGTTTTCTGCTACTGAACTGTCAGAAGATGAACAAGTGTGATAGCATTTGAAGGGTATTTATTTTTTCCTTCTAGTTCAGCAAGTAGATTCCTGCCTCATTTCATTGCATTTACTCCAGTTTGATCAAGGCAGTCCTTTCTGTCAACATTATTGAGAAGGTTTTAAATGTCTGTGCGATGACTAGAGGGAAAACTGGTCATCCTGTGCACTCATTATTTGCATTCCGTCTAATGTAAACTGAAACAAAAGAATTAACTAAAGAACAGAATGGGACAAGAAAATAAAATCCCATTGGTCAGAATACTCTGATATTTCAAAAGTTTTCTACAATTTCAGCAATTATTTTTTTCTTGTTTTATTTGAAAACCTGTAGTGTCAATATTTTCAACAAAAGATAGCAGGCCAGACACATGCAAAACCGTCTGCTTTAACCAGTCTTTTGGAAACACACATTTCTGAAATCTTCAGACTCAAACTCTAAGGAGGCGCCTCATGAGCTGTCAGGAAAACTCAAAGAGAGGAACTCAGGAAATGAAAAAAAAAAAAGGTGGGAATTTATTGTTAGCATTGTTTTGGTAATCAAGGCTATCTTCCATTATGCATTTCAATTTTTACAAATTGCTGAATTCAGAAGAAAATTACTCAGCCTGCATATTTTTTTCTGACAAAATCTGATTAAAATTTGTCACAGACTTCTCTTAAAAGATTTCTGTTTGATTTTAGTGATATTTAGGTGCAATTAATTGTATCCTATATTATTCCTATCTCATTTCCACTCTTTTCTTATAGAAAGAGTGAAATGTGCAGTAAATAAATAATATGAGACACTATACACCGATGACAACAGCTAAATTTTGCAAAGGGAACCTTATATTTACCTTTTTTTCATTTTGGCATTCTCAGCAATAGTGTTTCGATTCCATTCGCCTGAAGGAATTTAACAAATACTTTGGTGTGTTTACATTCAACGTTCAATTCCAAAAAAAGATGAGGAATGAATTATATTGTGCACATTCATTTGCACAAGTCACAGTAAAGCACCAGTGTTTCACTGGAGAGCGTGGAGCCTCCATATTATGAATCTCAGTGTAATGTGACTTATGGAAAGTCCAGCCTCATTAGATGCATATGAGATACAACAGTCTCTGCCTCCTCAAAATAAAGAAATGTGAGTAGGGATAAAATGTTTTTCAGAGCTTGGTTACTATAGAAGCACAAGTCTTTGTTCTCTCCTGTCCTAAAACTGTCACATAATTAAATCCATACTATGTGCTTAAAGTAGCCAATAATGAGTCAAAATTTACTTTTTAGTGAGAAGGGTTTACAGGAAGTTCCATTTCTAATTCCCAGATCTGGATAGTTTCTCGTCTTTTGAGCACTGTCAAATACTGTTTGCTACAGCTGGGAGATGGTGCAGTTGTGATGGAATATCTCATCTTCCCTGTTCACTTCTGTTGCTAGCTGCATCTTCACTTTGTAAAACGAAATGTAAATCCTCACAGCTGTACTGTGGTAGTGGTGTTAAGCAGGAAAACAGAATGTAAAAAGCCTTCCTGACCTAGATAACTCTGGATTTTGATGTATACCAACAGGGTTTTGACACTGATCACTAATCTCACAAGATGCTTCAAATCCTGGCCCTATCCCAAAGTTCTTTATCAGTAAGCTGAGCAGATAGATAGTCAAGTGGAGAGCTTGTTTTAGGTGAGATGAAGACATGGGAAAAAAGATTAGTATGGAAGCAGCAGCCATGATCTCTCAGAGTGATAACAGCTGTCTGCAAATATTAAGGAAACTCCAAGAAAGAAATTGAAAAGGCAAGAAAAGGCAAGAAAAATAAGTTGGCGATGTCTTGTCTACTTGCTACCAACAGAATATGGATTCTCAGCAAACTCATGGCACTTCTGTTTAGAAGCAAGTGTTTTGCACTGTGATTAGGGCACTGCTGGAAATGTGTTATTGCACCATCTGGTCTCTCCTATCCTAAAGTGACAAACTGTCCCAGTGGTATCTCAAGCAAGCTCCAGGGAACCAGTGATTCATGAACTTCTGCTATAGAAATGAACTTCCTGAGTCTGGTTATTGCTGTGAATCTACCAATACTACTCTCTGCAGAGGTCTTGTGAGAGACTACATACTGAGGCAATAGGTTTATTTACTATGTCAAGTTTCTTTTCAGTATCTCCCCTGGGATATAAGCATGGAACTAGTCTACAGCTACTGGAGGGATAATCATTTTAGTTCCAGTGGCCTGATAAACATTGACAGTACTTTTGTTTATCTGCCCATAAAACTCTGAATTGACAGCTTCAACAACGCAACCTTCAGAGGAGCATTACAATGTCCTGATAATATGGAATTAAGACTCCACAAGGGCTTCTGGGCTAACATTTTGGTTGGTCTGTTTAATGCTTAATCAGACCATTATTACGTTTGTAAACCTCAGCAAAAGCAAGCAAACAAACAAACCCTTGCAATCTTTTTTTTCACCACATGTAAAATCAACCTGTTTATTTAGATTTATGTATGTGTTTATTTAGATTAAATGTATATGTGTTAGTCTCATATTCAGCCTTCTAACTTTGATAGGGTATCTGAGTATCAAAGGTGTGGACATTTCCTCCTTTATACAAGACAAACATTAAAATAGTCTAAAATCCAGGATAATAATAATTTTTCCTCACTAGCTGTGTCATTGCTCATTTCTTTTTGTTTTGGAAAGAGTAAGATTCTCATAGAATCGTAGAATCTTAAAGGTTGAAGAAGACCACTACAATCATCTTGTCTAGTCATCAACCCATCACCACCACTTCCATTAAAGCAGGTCTCTCGTGATATGGATAATGTCACACTGGTCATCCACTCAGGCTCCATTTCCATTTTATTTCACTGTTTGCTTGCAGTCCTGATCCTGTGTTGCAGGTCCCTGACCTGTGTTTGATTTTGGCATTGACTCCCTGCCAAACCAGTTTCTTCTCTGAGACAATTAGATTTTATCTCCGGGTTTAAAACATTCAGGGATCCATGTCTGGAGAAGTTTATCAAAGGAGAGCTTTACTGTAGCTTTTTTTTTTTTTAAATCAGCCCAGAAAAATCATTGATTTTATAGACTAACTACTGCTTGCTAGTCTCCAAGTTGCTTTTGGAGTGACCTACATTTCTGGACATTTTGGTTTTTGCCTCACCATAGTGAAGTTTAAATCTCTGAATTAAGGTATAAAAGAGCTACAGAGACAGTGAAGGTCTTGGAGGGCAAGATGTACAAGGAGCAGATGAGGTCCTGTGATTTGTTAGTCCAGAGCAGAGCAGGCTGAGCTTTGCAGGTGAGCTTTGCAGCTTTGGGTTGGACTCAGTGATCCGTGTGGGTCTCTTCCAACTTCAGATATTCTCTAGTTCTATGATTCTTAAAGTATTACCACAAAACTTTAGTATCTTATTTAAGAGACAGTTTGATTTAATGAGCTGGTTCTTTTACTTATCTGCAACTTCATAATGGACTTCATAATGTGCACTCTAACAATATCAGTCTTAATCCAGCTCTTTCAATATGTTTTCCTTGGGAACAAATTTTGAGTCTACTGCTGGGAAAAAGTTGACCTCTCGTTTATGAACCAGGCAGGTTTCTTAAGCCTAGGATTGCACTTATGTTCTCAGTTTATAGTGTTTGCTTAGTGATTTTCAAGTTGTTTACTCAAATCACTGCAAAATCCACTAAAGAGAAGATAAAGAAAAGATGATATCATCACTTCAGGAGTTGCCCAACTTTCCAGACTGGACTACAGGGCAGGAAGGTGGCCTGGTGTTAAGCATGCTAGAAGGAGGCTGATGAACTGTAGGCTGCCCCACAAACATTCTTTAGGACTCTATGGGAGCTAAGAAGAAAGCATAGTTAGAAGGAGAAATGTGAACCTGAAAGCTGTGATCAGCTCTGATCTACTCTTAGGTCTTCTGTTCCCAGATGTCAAAGGAGTCTTACCCAGAAGCCACTTAGGACTGAGGCCTAGGTACCCTTTCCTTTCATAATGAAGCCTATGAAGAATTTAATATGCTCTGATCACTGAGGAATTATATAAAAAGGGAAGAGTGTCCTTTGTATGGTACAGAATAACATTTGATGCTGCAATGCTGTAAAAGAAAAATATAGGTGCAAGTCTCAGCTCCATTCTTCAAACAAGACTTAATGCCTGGGTTAAAAGGCCTAAGCACTGTCACTTGCTCAGATCTCCCTGAAGCAAGTCCCAGAGTTCTGGAATCTGTGCCCAATGAATGATTCTTGACACCTCTTCAGGTATCACACCCACCCTGCATCATGCAGTCTTACAGCAGCTGAAGTCATAGAATCATAGATTTATTACAGTTGGAAAAGACCTGTAAGATCATGTAGTTCAACCATCAACCTGCCACCATGCCCACAAGCCATGTCTCTCAGTGCCACATCTCCACAGTTCTTGAACATCTCCAGGGATGGTGACTCCACCACCTCCCTGGGCTGCCTGTGCCAGTACATCACCACTTTTGCTGAGAAGAAATGTTCCCTAATTTCCAGCCTGAACATCCTTTTGTTTTTCTCAAGATATGAAATCATGAATTTTAAGAAAATGGGGAAGGACTACTTTGACTATATCAATGTTGGCAGCTGGGACAACGGTGAGCTGAAAATGGATGATGATGAAATATGGTCAGAAAAAAATAATATCATCAGATCTGTCTGCAGTGAGCCCTGTGAAAAAGGACAGATAAAGGTAAATATATTTTCTACTTATTTCAGTTGTATGCATAGGCTTGAAATGTGAAAAGAAATTCTTTCTATCTCTTTCATAGAGGCAGTATCCCACACCTTAATTAAACTGTACAGACATAAATTTAGTTCCTGCTCACATCATAGTCATTTCACAATTTTCATAAGTTACTACTGTTGTACTTCTGTATCTGTGAACTGTTGTCTTTTTTACCCTTATAATCCAAATGCTTTAGAGCAGATATTGTTTGGTGCTGTTTTGTTTTGTTTTTGTGTTTGTTTTTTTTTTTTTTTTCTTTTTTGCTGCATATGTTAATAGCATCTGATTCAGTGGAGTGTAAATCCCTGGCTGGGACTTGTGAGTACAACTGCAGGTAATTCGTAAATAATAATTGCTAGAAATTTAGTGCTAGACATAGACACCTAAACTGGGCCATTATTACTCACACACCTGCGGTATCTTCGGAGAACATCGGTAACTACTGCTGCTTAGAACTGCGAGAGAAGTAAGTAACTTTTTTTTTTTTAATGATACCTATTTTATCATTTCTTTTCTTTCCTAGGTTTTAGATTTTTTTCCAACCAACCTGTTGGAGTGTGAGGAAGAAAGATAAATGATTCTGTCATATATTAATTGTACTCTGTTGTTCTGGAGCATTCCATGAAACAAAGCAGATAAAAAATCAGCAAGTCCCTAACTTGCCTTGCAGTCATTTCCATACAAGTCTGTGCACTGAGAGGATTGTCATGGACAATGGAATGGCATGAACTGAAAAAGAAAAAACTTTTCTCCAGTGTTGACATGGCACACTTGCAAATCCGGGAAGTGGCAAGGGCTGATGGGAGGCTGATCATGCTCTGCAATACAGAGAGTGAAACATTTCTGTCCAAGTCTTGCGTAGTTTTAGGAAGTTACTGTGGTGTCTTCACTGGCTGGTCTTTTGCAGAGTCAGCAAATTCCATCAGTTCAAATCCATGTGCCTTCAGCATAGTAGATACATGCAGTTATGCCAGATTTCCAAATTTCATAGTCAGTGGAAATACATAGATTATTTCAAATCAGGAGTTGTTTATCCTCAGTTAAGATTATAAAACAGTTGAGAGTAATCTTGGTTTAGAAACACATTTATTTTCACAGCCAGGACATTTGGTTCAGATGGAAACAAACATTCTGCAGACACATGAGGGAAGGGAGGATGACTTACACCCCCAGTAACTAATCATAGTATGTTAGCTTGCTGCAGCTACTAAGACATATATTCAAGAGGAAAGAGATGTACAAACAGGTATTACTGCAGAACTGCTTACTGACATCCTCTGTAACTTGTTTCCACAACTCAGGGGACAGAAAGAATCTTCAGTAAGTTTCCTCCCACCTTCTGCCTGTGCTTTCAAGGATTCTCCCAAGACAGTTATCACAGAATCATTGGAAAAGACATGTAAGACCATCTAGTCCAACTGTCAATTCTTCTCTGTCAAGGCAGTTTATCACACACACACATACTTCAAGCCCAGTGTTTGAAATGTTCCTTATGCTCTGCTTTAGGCGACCGACTGTGAATCTCAAAGTTTACTGTATAATCTTTTATCTTCATTGCATTCACAGATGGTGGGGAAAGCTGGATCCTGCCTAACTTCTTGGTGGCTTTCTTACAGGGTTATTTTGGAATGAGTTATTATGAAGGAATTTGAAACTTTCAGTGCAATGAGATGCTGTTACTCAGCAGGGTTTTGTGTAACCATCTGAAGCAGAGGGTAAAATCCAAACATAATCCATTTGTATACATTCAAAATTGTGTAAAACAATTAATTAATCAGATAGTAATAATTCAACTGGTTCAGTGGATTAGAAAGATGACAAGAACATGGTAAAAAAAAAAATCTGTTTTTTTTTTTTTTAATTAAAAGGGACAGGAAAGATTGTTTTACTGTTAAAAAAAATGCTCCAACAAAATTATATATATTCAAGAAATGGAAAGAAAAAGGATGAAGATACGATTTTATAATGGACTCTGATTTACGAGCAATTCTTTTCTTCCTAGAGAAGGATACATAATCATGGTTAGTACTGGATAAGAAGTGCTGAGAGTACTAGTTTTCTTTCTAATTTTTCAGATTCTAAGTATTCTATTAGAAGGTGCTAATTTGGTGAGAAGTTTAACATGAAACTGTAAATGAATTGTTTTGATAGAAAAGGTGTTTTCATAATACCATATTGTTATTAATTTGACATTTCACTTTCTTGAGTTGTAAAATGATGGATTTTATAAGGCATTATTCACCAAAATATGTCTAAAATTGGTACAAGCTTTCTGAGAATTTATTTTGACAAACACAAGTAACTTTTAAAAGCTCCATTGTTCAAACTTTTTGTTTTAGATCAAAATAAAAGAAATCCAAAGATATGATTTTTCAGGAGGGCAGATACATTGCTTTGCAAGCAGATGTAATCTAAGGTCTTAGCAAAATATTTATGCTCTTATGTTTTTTCTTCAAGTTTAGCTAATTAGGTGACTTTTATCTCCTTCCATCTTCTACTATTTTATAAATAAAATTCAAATTTCAAATTTTCCAATCCCTCTATTGCTGATGAAAAAGATACAAATTGCACTTTTTGTTCACTACAGTTTTGTAAAGAACAATGTGAGCAAGACAGTAATTCTTCTTTATACTAAGTTGCATTTCATTTATTGAAATTTCAATAAGGACATTTGGTTTTGAAGTCCTCTTCTAAATACACCACTGCATAAAAATACCAAATTTCAAAAAGCCAACAAGTCAGTTTACTCCTTGTAATGTAATTGAAAGTATTTGTTTTAAAATTGTTTAAAAATAACAAAGAGATGGACACATGGACAAAAAGCACAGATAATGATAAATAAGGGTCTTGAAAAATCTACATCTCAATCATGAATATGTAATGACATTTGGCAACAAATTATAAGATGAGAAATCAGGTCAGATGCTAAAATGGACTAAGATAACATTCTCATTTCTAGGAAATTAGAAATGTAGTAATCTAAATAGTTCCAGAAACTATGTTCAATTTGATATTTGGAAAAAAAATCAGTTTTAACCAATTACTCAGAATTGAATGAAAAATAAGCATCCAAAAATCTTTGGATAATAAACACTCAAATTCTTTTCAGTCTGTGCTCAGTGCCAGGACAAGAGGCATTGGGCACAAACTGAAACACAGCAGGTTTCCTCTGAGCACCAGGAAGCACTTGTATGTGTGCAGGTGGTGGAGCTCTGTCACAGGTTGCCCAGAGAAGGTATGGAGTATCCCACTAGGAGATCTCCAAAGGCCACTTGACATGGTGCTGGGCACCCTGCTCTGGGTGTCCCTGCTGGAGCTGAGGTTGGGCCAGATGGACTCTTTTTGTGGTTCTGTATTGGCATCTATACTTCTACTGGGTTACTGGCTTCTTCTGGTATATACATGGTGTGGGAATGGAGAACTTGTGTCACTTTTTGGATGAACAACATATGATATCATATCATATCATATTGTATCATATTGTATCTTGTCAGGAGTTCTCTTCAACAACAACAGCAACAACAACAACCTTTCTTAGAAAAAAAAAAAAAAAGAAAAAAGAAAATTAGTACTTGGGGCAGCATGAATGTACATTTATGTTGCTAAATCAAATGTCAATTTTTATCTCAGGTGATTCGTAAAGGAGAAGTGAGTTGCTGCTGGACATGCACTCCTTGTAAAGAGAATGAATATGTCTTTGATGAATACACGTGCAAGGCCTGCCAGCTCGGCTCCTGGCCCAATGATGAGCTTACAGGTAAACAAGTTATGGGTGTGCTTATGTTGTCAATTATTACGTTCATTGGCTAAGCTGAAGAAACAAATAGCAGATACAGGTGAGTATGAGGACTCTTTGCTTTAGTCAGATTAAGCCTAGAGATATAACTGAAATCTGAACTCAAACTGGTATTTGTTATCTTTCCTCAAGTTGATCCAGAAGCCCTTAGATTAATTCAGCTGCTCTCTAAAGACATAAATACATAAATTGCAAGATCTAGAAATAAAAAATCTAGTCCTAGCATCGAATTTGAAACTGTACTAGCACCAAACAGGTTGTGTATCTCATGCCCTTCCTCAAACACACTGAAAAATGAATAATTATCAGAGAAATTATTAAAGAAAGTCAAACTTTATTCAGTTTTATTAACCTCTCAGGCAGGTAAAGAAGAGTTGTGGCAATTGCTGATGTTGAAAGCATCAATGCTCCAAATAGACTTAGCTCTGTAGCAGTCCTTTGTTCACCAGATGGTCTGCTAAAACACTGGTTTCATTTTCTCCTGGCCATTCTGTAGATCTCCATACTCTTGCAGAATGTCAATTTGCCTCTTCCGGGGCAAAATTGTTCCAATACTTGTATCCCACAGACTCTCTTCTTTATGACTAATAGACAGGATTTGTGTGTTCAGATGCTCAGAGAACAAAGATGCTTTAAATACTGCTCAGGGATCAGGTTCTCATTATGACTGTCTTTGCACCAGGGGAGAAGAGACAGGCTTTTTCCACAAGAGTTCACAGACTAGTTTACATATAATTTCTATGGATGAAGTGAGAAATGAGTGAGATTAAAGAGAAGGAAGACATAAGGAAAAACAATTTGCTGGGTGAATTTATGTAATTGGAAGAGTGTCAGATAGTGTTTGGCCTTGAGATAGATTTCTGTAAATAAGGTTAATCAAAATTTTTCCCTTGTAAGGGATGTTACATTGTGGTAATACATGATATAAGAATACTAATTACTATAAATAATAATTTTAAAATTATTTAACTATGAAATTGATAGGGTATTTATCAGAAAATGCCAAATATTAAAATTCTGAAGAAAACTTTTAACTGATAAAACTGAAACAGCAGCAAATTAGATTTGTAAACTCTCCTCTAGTCCTGAACCTCCAGCACTGCCTTCCTGAGCACACAGCAATCAGTCAGAAAACCCCTCTCACATCAGGAAAAGCATTCTCATGTCAAGGGAATGGAGAAAGGAAGAAGAGAACCTGATCCATTTGATTCCTTCTTTCAGCACACAGTACACAGTTTTGAGTATAAACTCAAATTTACATCCTGCCTTGGCCATACGTTGACCCCACTGCAGGGACCAGGCTGCTGCACCAGGCTGATCAACTTGTGAAAGTCAACTGGTGCAAACGGCCAACTCTTCAAACAAATTCCTCTGAAATGCAGCAGTTCCCAGATCACACATTTGTTTCAGCTATCACATGAATTTTTACCCAAAGTAGATCAGCTGGAATAACAGCTGCTACAATGAGGCTAGAAGGGAAATTGCTCTAAGTGCCTCATCTGGTCAATAGAGGATGCTTTTTTGAAACAATGGTGCTTATAACTGCCCATCATGTTGGAGAATTTGACGGAAAGGGGAGGGAAGGAAATAGACTTTATGTGCTATATGTAAGGCAAAGTGGAGCAGGCAGCCTCCAGCATGGCTCTGGCACCTGGGGCTTTGTGTTGGCTCTCCAGGACACTCAAGACCCACAGCCAGGTATCAATGTGGGCTTGTGGTAGCATTTATCCTCTCAAGGTATTACTTTGCCCTCAAGATGGAAGAACAAGAGTGGGTTGGGTCAATGCTTTTCCACCTAACTCTGGGCATTTCAAAGGAAAGTTGTTCTTCCAGTCAAACCAACTGCTTCATGTAATACACGTACCGTTGTATTTTGAAAACATTTAATTTGTCTTTTGTATGCTGAATCACGGCCTGAGCCTCTGATTGATCACCTGAGGCAAGCAATGAGTCAGCCACAGGAGCACAGGTGAAGGCAATTCAGCTGTGCTGCCAGAAGGGGTGGAGCCTGGTTCCACCTCTCCTAGACCCATTTAAGAGCTGACTTCCCCAGGGTATCTTTTCAGGAGATCCGCTCTACTAGGGTTTCGTAAGTGAGCCTAGGATACAGGTAAGCATTCTATCTTTTCTGGTTTGGTGTAATAACTACATAGTCAAGGTCTCTGGTATATCTCATAACTGTAACATCTGTGCATCCATTGATATACAGTCTTTAGACATGCATTTTGTGTTGCATGGCAATGAAATCTGATAGGCACATGTTAAACATCAGTGGACATCAATACCAAGCAATGGTTTTTAGGAGATCTAGCTGTTGCTTCTTAGCTGGGCGCAGATTCAGCAGAACATTGGGCAACTGAACCCTACCTCAGTCTCTGTGAACACTGCTGATACAGCACGCATTCCTGGTAACAAGATCCCTATCATCATAGCTGCATGGCCCTCTGTTTCCCATCTAACTTAACTATTCACATGATGGTTGGATCTGGTCTTATTTAGTCTTGTATCAAAAACAGATTTTAAAAAGTTTATTCCCAACTTATCTACATGATATATTAAGCTGTATGTTTTTCTGATTGTATTTATAGACCCAACTTTTGCAACTTGTAAAGAAATCGCCTCTTGATCTAACTTTGTTTGCAGTGTAAGTTTAGTAATAAATATGAAGTAAATGTAAGGAGAGAGAAGTGCATTTTGAATTCTGGTGAGCAAACTTCTCATTAACTTTTCAAAGCACACACCAATCTCCTTGAGATGTCCCTACATCTGATACTGCAGCAGACTGTGTCTCTTTGCTGCAAGATAAAGCCATATCTTAGGTAATGTCAGCTCCTCAAGGCCACACATAAAAGCTTACTGGAATAAGTCTTCCTTGCATGGTCACTTTTATATGAGAGTTCTGCTTCTGAGCCTCTGGTTTCTGAGTCAGTAAATTTATCAGCCATGCAAAAGGAAAGGCTTTTAATGTGAAGCTGCACCTCGCTGTCTGCCAGAGGTCCGAACTTAGATAAAAACATTTTTTTTAAATCCTTTCTTGGCTCATACAACAAAACATCACTTCAGTTTTCTTATACACAATGGCTGGTAACAATTTGGGCCACAAACTTCAATATATAAAAGATATAATGGCTGAGATGCTGCTTATAAAAAAAAGTTCAGTCTTGTTTTTCAGCCACCTGAATGAGAATCACCAATATGAGAATTCAGCTGCAGGAGGAGAGCAGACAGAAGAGATGCAACGTGTGTAGGAAACCATTATTCTCATAAAAGATAAAGAGCTGTGAGATCTCAAGTACAGTAAGGCTTAGTAAGTCCAAAGGGAAAAATGAGTGGGAGGAAGAATTTCTCTTGATTAAGTCAGTTACTGGAAAATATATCTATCTAGAAAAACTGAGGCTAGGAAAACAATGTTTAGTCGCTAATATCTTATTCCTTACAAATTTTATTTTCATTGCTTGTGCACAGAACTTTCCCCAGGGACCAAACTGTATCTAGAATGCAAACCTACTAATTCTCTTTTCTTTTTCCCCAGTCCATGTGTACTATCCCCAAAAGCACTCCAGGTCCAAATCTTTCTCCTGGGCTAGTGTCAACTGGTCTACTTATGTACTGTAGATCTCCTTCCTAACACTCTGTTAGTAATGTGTGTATGTGACACAACCACTTCACACAGCACTCAGTGTGACTGAGCCATACTCAATTAGAGCAGAAGAAACGCGTGATTTGAAGTCCAGAATGATATGCTTACACCTCCACTGTTCCTTAAAACACTTAATGGTGCTACATTCACAGTGGGAGGAAGAGAAATGGATTCCAGGTGTGTTTAGATGTGAATAAACAAATTCTTACCTTTTTTGGTCCAAATCTTGATGCAACTGATTTTTCAGTAGGCTGAGAAATGCTTTTTAGTTCTCCTGGAATCCACTGACTTTGAGGGCATGATCGTCTGCATTCAGGAAGGATACCCTGGGAAAACTGAACAAGTTTTGCTCAGCAATGCAAAAGTTTGTGAGTGGCTGTAGGAACATCTTGATCTGGTGATCCCCAGGGTTTGTCCCCAGGACATTTTTGAGGGGGAAAGAGACAATTATTCTTTCTTTCTGTGATTCAGGGACAATAGAAAACAACAACAGAAATGGTTCTGGTAATGTCGGGGACATCAAAGAAAGCAGATGATATTAATTAAGTGACTTTTGCATTATCTTCAGGCTACAATGACATTTTCATCACTCCCTGTGTACTCCAACTATGCTGGTTATTTGATTTTCTTGATTAGATTCCGATGAACATAGGAGGTGAAATACTTTACGGTTCTTGAAAAGTTTTCTTTGTCATTCATGGATAAGGCTAAACATCAGAAATACGCATTTTTGCTATAGTTACAAAAATTCTTTCACCTAATAAGGTACAGTATACCCAGTATAGCAGATTTACAATTTTCATGTTTGAAAATGCTAGATAGGAACAGGAGTATCCAAACAGCACTTGAATGGTGAGAACTGGGGGAAAAGAAAGTGCATTCCACCTCTACATGACAAAACACTTCAACATGCTGACCGTACTGGTGCTGTGTTCTGTTATCAGCCTGCTCCTTCCTGAGCCCAAGCTTGTACTCCTATGGATTCATAGAATCACAAGATCATTTGAGTTTCTTGTCTTCCTTTCTTGACTTCCTTTACCTGTGGATGGAGAGATCTTGTGCCCCAGGAAAAGCTTCCTTTGAGATCTGCCATCCCTTCTCTGCTCTCTTTCATTTGACGATGGTTTCCCCAAGGGGTTTGTTGATTAACTCCCTGAAGAGCTGGAATTCGGCTTTCCTAAGATTTTACATCCTGATTTTTACTCCGTCTGTCCAGTATCCCTCAAGTGTGCAAATTCCACTACTGCATGGTCACTACAGCCCAGGCAGCCTCCAGTGCTGATGTAATCAATCAGTTCACTGGCATTGGTCAGCAATAGAT